AAACTTGGGTCTTATGCAGGAGGAATATGCAATCTGAACTGCTCACCCATCTCACCAGCCCTAAAGCATTTTTTTTAAACAGTGTTAATGAGTCAGGAATTGTTTGCACCCCTAGGAATCATCTGATAATGTCTGGAGACATTTTAGTTGTCACAAGGGGGGTGTAGGATGGAGAGTAGGGTAGAGGAAGGTCTATTTGATATACTTTGGTCCTCAATAAGCTTAACATCAGATCAGCTCTAGGCACTGATAAGACCCAGTAGCCAGCCTGAAGTCAGTATACCAAAAGAATGCTACCCAGCGGACACCCTGACGACCCCCTGCCCTGTCTCTCTGGGACTGCTTAACAATCTTGGTTAATTTTCATTTTTAGTCTTTTAAATTCATTTATTTTTATTTTATGTGTATGAGTGCTATGGGTACATATGCATAAGTGCGCCTATGTCGTGCAGTGCCCGTGGAGGACAGAAGAGGGTGTTGGAACCTCTGGAACTGGAGTTACAGACAGTTGTCAGTCACCATGTGGGTGCTGGGATTCTGAGACAGACATGAACCCCACTTCCAGGAAGACTACACGAGCTTCCCTCTCCCCCTCCCCTTTAACCATGCTGAATAGATTTGTTTCTAAAACATCAATTCTGGTTCACTTCTTCACTGTCCACAGGATCCTAAAACTGTTTTCCTTTGTTCGCTTATGTCTGACCTCGGGGCATCCAAAACATCTTAGTAGGAATGCACTGAACCATGGGATAATTATTAACAGTAGCAATTATAGGCTCTTAGTAGACTTCTTTATGGACTATGTGTTCACATAGGTTACATTTTACTCAGTAGGTAGATCTCTCAAATTAAATTTGAGAAAGGCTATCTAAAGTTATAAATCCCAGCTAGACTGAGGCAGGAGGACTGTCACAAGTTCAAGGCCAGCCTGACTACATAGTGAATTCCGGGCCAGAATGGGTTACAGATTGAGAGCCCATCACAAAACAGAGGAGGAGAAAGAAGGGGAAGAGAGGAGGAGGAGGAGGGAGAAGAGAAGGAGGAAGAGGAGGAAGAGGAGGAGAGGAAGAGGAGGAGGAGGAAAAACAGGAGGAGGAGGAGGAAAAACAGGAAGAGAAAGAAGATGAGAAAGACTACATAGAAAGAATGGCACCAACGCCCAGGGCTCCACTGGGGTGGCTCAGGATGACTAATCCTGAGAAATGTATCTAATCCTGAAATGGACCATTCAAGCAGCATTAAGAGAACCTAAAATCAAAGCCTCAAAGTGGAAGGCTGAGGGACGCTTGGGCAAGAGGAACCTGCTGAGTTCCAAGGCAGATGGCGCAAGCAATCTGCACCTGAGCTCACCAGCTATGCGTCTCTGGACATATTCCTTCTCTGGCAGAGCTGTGGCTTGGGTCAAATGAAGAAGAGGCTTTAGATCACAATGGGCCTTGCCCATGGCACAGTACATGGTAGCAATTCCGTGAATGAGGGTTGTCAGCTGCTCCAACACAGTGAGTTGAGAAAAGCATTCCACTGCAAAGACGCAGACATGAAGCTTCGGGAACATGGTGATTAGGGAAGGTACACTGGAAAGTTGGAAGAGAGGCCCAGGAAGGGAAGGACAAGCTGGTTAAACAGGAAAACAAACTCCACCTCCAGAACCGAGCTAAGGATGCCACAGAGCCTTGGCACCCAAGGGCCAGTGTGGAGCCAAACAGCCCAGCGACTTCTGAATGAGCTCTTGCTGCAATAAAAAACCTTGGATCACTCTGAAAGCCTCCCACAAGGTGTCAATATGTCTCAGTACATCCCAGGCCAGCTATCTATACAATCCATCCCAGGTAGTGTGAACAGGCTCAAGCTGGCTCACACACTGAAAACCTGGAGTGGATTAAATTGACCTTGAGATCCTTTCTGATATGCCAGATAAGGTCCCTCTGCAGAGTTGTGGAATAACGAGAGCGTGGAAGAAATCAGCGCAGCAAAGTCACAGGTGAGCACGTGAGGACGGTGTGGACAAAACGCAAGGACGGTTACCACACCAGGGCTCCACACAGTGCAAAGACAGGAAATGGTAACAGTGGCTTTAGGTGCTAAAGCTGGGCATCTGTAATCACCATCTTGGGGGAGTGAGGAACACGGTACAACCAAACATAGGGAACGAGTACAGCAGTGAGGCTTGTCAGAGGGTTAAGTTTCTGCAGTCTAAACCCTCCGAGATGAAATCCCAGTGTGTGAAACTGTGTGGTCTGTTGTCCCTGATGCTTCCTGTTCCCAAGCCCCTAACATGAATGTTTGGAATAATTATTTCTGGAGGATTGCTACTCCACCTCAAGCGATTGTTCAGCAGAGCGAAGCTATAGTGATCAACTCTGTCACTAGAAGTTGGCTCACAGGGACAGAGCTGTGGCCTAAAATGCAAGGAAGAGAGATTAAATGGTGAGTTTCTAAGAGTATCTCGCTCGGTCTTCTTCATTAGAGATGAGGAAACCAGGAATTTCTGCCTCTATGCACCAACTTGTAGTTAAAATGGGCCAGGTGTAGAGGCTCATGCCTGTAACTCCAAACTTCTGGAAGCAGAGGCACGAAGGGCACAAGTTCAAAGCCAGACTAGACCACACAGTCAGGTCCCATCTGCAAAAGCAGTGACAACAGATGACAGACAGGTGGGTAGGTGGGCAGACAGATACCTGATAGATAGATGACTTATAAGTAGATTATAGATAGTAGTTAATAGAGACAGATAACTAATAAAAGCTAAAAGATAGATGATAGACATAGACAAATCAATATACGACAGATCATTTCCAAATGGGATAAATACAGATTAATCTGTTCTCATCTATAATGCATTCTTAAAAAAAAAAAAAAAAGCACAGATTTAAAGATGAAAACGCAACTGTGTGTCAGCAGTATCTTCCACACCTGGCTTCAATGTTAATATCATTGTGCAGTCAGGTTGCTACAGAATCACCAAAGCCAGTGGAATTCCCTGAGATGCCAGATAATGGCATCTCTTTTACATAACCAACAGGCCAGAACACGGTAGCAACGCCTAGGAAACTGGCACAAAGACGGTGGCTGCAAATTGATCCCAGTGAATGAAGGGACTCCCTGGCGAGATTCAGCGTCCCCCGCCCCATGCTCATCACACGGCAAACATAAATACCAAAAACATTCATATACTTTAGACCCAATTGTACATGAAATTACAACAGTGTACAGTATCACTGGTAGTGGCAAAACAATGCAAACCACACGCCTGCACCATAAGTGGAACACTGGTGAGAAAGGCGTGTCCTGGAATATTATGCAACTACTAGAAACGATGAAGACACGTGCTTTGAAGTCGAAGTGTCCCCTGAAAGGATCATGTGTTGCAGAGGTTTGGTCCCCAGTGCAGTAGTGCTCAGATGCGAAGTTTTGGTGAAATGATTAGATCACAAGGATTCTGACTTAACCCATGGGTAAGTCCACTGATGGATCCATAATCTGATGGTATCAGAGGTGGTGGAATTCGGTCTCTCTTGCTCTTGCTCTCTCTCTCCCTCCCTTTCTCCTTCCTCCCCTTCCTGACCGCTAGGAGGCAAGCACCTCTTTCCTCACTGTGCCCTTCTGCCATGATGGCTTTCGTGTCCGCAGGCCTAAAAATGCAGTCAGTCAGCTTTGAGCTGAAAACCTCTGGAGCCATGAGCCAAAATGAATGTTTCTTCCCTTCCCCTCAAGTTGCTTCTGCCAGGCACCGCACCCCTGTGATGCAAAGTCCATCTGGCCCAAAGTCCAGGCAGATGCACTGATAAAGAAAGGCCTTCTGCTGTACTCGTGGCCTGACCACAGCACAGAACAGCGGCATGCATGGCTTCACTCACAGGTGCAGCCCTTTTCTGGAAGAACACGTGAGAAATGGCCAATGTGCCTACCTTTCCAGGACCAGGGAAGACTTTAGCTTTTTGTTTTCTTACCATCTCATTTGGAAAGACTAGGGGTGAGAGACAGCTCAGCAGTTAAGAGCACTGGACCGGCTGCTCTTGCAGAAGACCTGGGTTTGAATCCCAACACCCACACGGTAGCTAACAACCATCTGTAACTCCAGTTCCAGGGGATCCAACTTCTGTCCTCCTCTGGCACTGCATGACACAGATCCACTTAGACACATGCAGGCAATACACATAAAATAAAAATAAAACAAAAACAACAACAAAAAAGATTTTTAAAAAAGGCTCATGTGTAAAAAAAAAAAAAAAAAAAGACTGGGAAGACAGGACCATTGCAGGTGTGCTGCGAAAAGACATCTGAGCATGACGTCACATAGGTACCTGCATAAGATCTCACAAGATCAGGACTTCATCATGGACAGGGGAGGAGCTCATGAGGTGCCCTCCCTCCCTGAGGGGACAGTAGACAGTTAACGGTAGTTGGGGGAGAAGGGCTGTTACTTTCTTCAGTGGTGTAACCACTGGTAAGTTGCCCAAGCTCCTGTAAACAACCTCCCTCCCACACTCATGCAGGCAGCCCTCATTAAACACAGCGAGTCGCACACAAACAGACATGAAGTGGGAGGTGACTTGCTGGGCAGAAGAATTTTAGCAGGTGGAGGAGGGATTAGAGAGGGTCATGGAGGGTGAAAATGACTAAAATTCATTATATACATGTATGAAACTGCCAAAAGGTAATAAAATAAACAAACAAGTAGCTGCAGAAATAGAAAAAATACCATAGGGCATTCACCCTCCCAGCTGTGTTCATGGGCACTGACCACATTTTATTTGTTTTAACAATGATTTAAATAAGCAAAACTTCTCAAACCTCTGAGTAGTAAAGCAGGTGACGCTGACAGTGAACTGTAAACAAATTCGTGGATGATAACTGCCCAGCTCATCCTTTATTCATAAAGTAAACAATGTAAAAATGACTTTAAAAATAAAGACATGATTCCAACAGTAATAAACTTTATGCACTGCGCTTAGCCCGGCATGCACACTGGCAACAAAAAAACACAGTCAAATGCTCACCCATTCTCCCAGAATCTGGGACACAGCTTCGTTGGCTCTTGTCATGTTCCTACAGGCCAGGATCACGTGTGCACCGTGGAGAGCAAAAGACTTGGCAGTTTCAAACCCTATGATTTAAAAGAAAAGTCCACATTAGAAAAGATGGACATGTGAGTCATGCTAAACGGCCTACAGGGGACACCGCTGGCACGGTCAAAGTGGTTCTCAACCAGAGGTGATTTCATACCGCAGGGGACAGGTGCCATGTCTGGAGACTTTTCAGCGGACAAAACTGTGGGGTGGAGTGTCACTGGCTTTTAGCGAGCAAAGGAATGTGGCAGATAAATATCTTAGGATGTATAGGAGATGCCTGGCCAGGAAGGTCAACAAATGAAATCAGACAATGGGCACAACAGGTAGAGTGACTGCAAAGATGAAGGCTGAGTCAAAAAAGATTTCAGGCCAGGGTCAGCCCCTTTACCACCAGTCATGAGGAGTAATGCTCTGTGATGGTCCCAGGACTGATCAGTCTAGCAATGGTGGCCCTGGTGTCCTGAACCCTCCCTCTCACCTTCCTCCTGAGAACAATGAGAAAAAAGCTGGAGAACATATGGTATACACATGAGAGGGTTCACACAAACATGCACCATCATACACACACATGCACATACAAATACACGCATACATACGCACACACTCACATACACACACCCATCATGCACACACATATACACAAAGGCATTCTTGTTTGAAATTCTTAGAGAAGTTCCATACAACTGAGAAGTTGGGAGGCCAAGGTTTGGGGAAGTCAAGAGGCCAGCACCTAGCATGGCGAGGCCAGCACCTAGCAGGGAGAGGCCAGTACCTAGCAGGTTCTGTGGTGCCTCCCAAGTCCTATTCCAGATGGACAAGTGGCCGAGAGTCTTAGAAGACTGGTTGAGCTCATGGCACTTTTACAGGAAGAGAAAGACACAAACGTAAGCTCGAGGACCACGAAGAAGAGGCCCTGGTAAATTCATTGGGGCTGTGTCCCTCACTGGAGTACCTGTATAAGTCCAGCCTTTCTAGAAACTCAGGTTCAAGCCACTTAGTCACTGGCTGGTCACCTCATCCAGAACCTCAAGTTCTCCCTGCAATTACCTCACATTCTCAAATAAAGTCTGTGGAAGGAAAACAAAAATAACAAGGCAGGCAAGAGGACGAGATGTTACCCAAAGCCAGAGGAGAGGAAAACAGAGACAATTGCACTCCAGGCCTGAATAATGAAGTCGTCAGAAAGGGGGGCCCAAGAGCACTATGGCAAGGTCTTCAGGAAGTGAAAAGATGAGATGGGGAATTTTGTCAAGGACTTCAGAACAGAAAAAAATAGGTAAAAATCGGATACTATGAAACAAGCCTAAGTAAGGAAAACATACAGGTTTAAGCCAGGCGTAGTGGCCCACACCTTTAATCCCAGCTCTAGGGAAGTGGAGGCAGGTGGATTTCTGTGAGTTCAAGGCCAGCCTGGTTTACATAGAGAGTTCTAGGCCAGCTGGGGCTAGAAGGAGACCCTGTCTCAAAAAGACAAAGAAAATCAAACAAACAGACACAACAAGCCTAAGTAAGGAAAACATACAGGTTTAAGCCAGGCGTAGTGGCCCACACCTTTAATCCCAGCTCTAGGGAAGTGGAGGCAGGTGGATTTCTGTGAGTTCAAGGCCAGCCTGGTTTACATAGAGAGTTCTAGGCCAGCTGGGGCTAGAAGGAGACCCTGTCTCAAAAAGACAAAGAAAATCAAACAAACAGGAAAAAAATACAGGTTTAATAAAAGACACAGTTAAGAGAAGACAAGTCAAAAATTTCCAAAGTGAAGCATAAATGATTTTTAAAAAAAAGATGATTGCACCAAGGACTTAAGATGCTTAGGCACACTGTCACTGTAAACATATCAATGCTTATCTGTAAAACTGAGAATTGCAAGGTATTACAGTGGGTATTACATACAGTAGAATATTATATTAACATAGTGTAGATGTGATATTATTCTGCCTTAGAAGAAAGAAATTCCACCAATTACAGCAAAATGGAAGAACCCAGAAGACATCTGCCCAATGAAACAAACTAGACTCAGGACAAGTACTGCATGACGCCCTTCTGTGCGGCTTCTAAAGCTACAAACCCAGAGAAGCAAGAGTGCAAGGGTAGTTCTCAGGACTGGGGAAGGAGAAAAACAAGAAACAATTAGCCAAAGGGGGAGAGATTTCTACTCACAAGAGGATAAAGTCCTAGAAAGCTAAGCCCACAGTCAGCATGAGCGTGCTGCATATTTACCAGCTTGTGAAGAGGGTAGGGCTTCCGTTACACAAAGTATTCTTATCACAAACACACATGTGCGTGGTTTATATATGTTAAGGGGCAAGGGAAATTTTTGGAGGTGATGGATCTGTTTCTGGTATAAATTCTAGTAGGGTCTACAGAGAAGGCTCAACAGGTAGGAGTGCCTGCTGCTCTTTCAGAGGACCCAAGTTCAGCTCCCGACACCCACATATAACTCCAGCTTCCAGAAATCTGACACTCTCTTTCAGTCTCTGTAGGGACTGCACTCGCATGTACAAACCCACACTCAGACACATATAAACATATAATCTTTAAATAAACTTTTTAAATCTTTATAAATTGTAATGATAGTCTGGTAGATAAGTTAGGTTCTGAGTCCTTTTGAAATTTCTGAGTCAAAGCAATGACCATAAATTTCTTTAGCACATTATCATTATAGGGTATTAAAGGGGGGGAAACACAATGTCGGAAAATGGGAAAGATGATGGGCATAATTCACTGTCATTCCCTAGTAACTGTTTGGCTGGGTTTGGTTTTGGTTTGGTTTGACTTTGTATTGTTTGAGATAGGGTTTTGCTATGTATTCTAGGATAGCTTGAAACTTACTATGTAGCCCAGGCTAGCCTCAAACTCCCATTCTCCTGTCTCTCTACCTCCCAAGCACTGGAATTACACATATGTGCCGCTATACCCAAAAACAATTATGTAATTAAATAATCAAAAGGGTATCAATAAAAGCAAGGCAAGCTGGAGCTTTATCCAACTCCCCAGATTATCAGTCAACTACTTGTTCCCCATGCCTGTTTATCTCTTGCACCCAGCTGGATTTCATAGATCTCCAGGAGGAATAAGTGGTTTACACAGACTGCTACTAAGAAGCCACCACAGTATGTTGCTTTGAAGTAATCTCCCTTATTTTGAATAGCAACCCTGATGGCCCTGTAACTTCCTTTTCAATAATGAATAATTTTTAAAATCCTGTGAGAATACTGCTCACTCTGGTTTCAAATGTCACTACCTAGAAATCTGTGAAGGGGAAAAACATACCCTTTTCCTATCCCCTTTATTTCCTGAAATGAACCAGTTAAGTCAGGCTAGCACACTTGACAAAATGACCTATGGCAAAGAATCCTTTATTTCCAAAAGTTGTGCCTCTGATGTAATGGCAGCACACACAGAAGACAGGAGCTTCCGCCTTCTCACCTCACATAACTCCTGACTGGAGCTACGGCTAAGCCATCTGTCTCTGTGTCTTCTACAGTTATTCTCCAGGACTTACAACACCCTTTATCTAAGCAACACGGTACACATGGCTAGTCGACTTGTTTCTACCGCCTCTGGAAAACAAAGTGGGGATATTTCAAAAGATGATGGTTTAACAGGGAAGACAATAACGCTTTTATAGTAAACCACATCTCCAGAGTAGGGAGTTTTATAAATTAAAAAAAAAAGTTTAATAACATTACCTACTGCTAAGTCCTGCAGAAAGCCCATGAGGATGGCATCCCTCACTCTGGTAGCACCACGGCCGATGGCCAGCTTAATTAGCTAAGTGTAGTAGTGCTAAGCCAATCCTGCATGGTGCCAAAGTTGGTGCAAAATAATGAAGGTAATGGTTTAGTAAATTTAATAACCTGATTCATCTTATAAAAAATTAACTTTATGACAATGTTTAAATTGCAGTAGCTTAACAGTGTGGGGATGGCAAGAGCGGGTACAGAGGAATATATAAGCTAATAATATGAAGAAAATAAATAACAGAAGGCATTTCTAAACAACGGGCAGCAATGGTCTCCTCACATTTGTAACATGGGATCCAATCAGAAGCACTAAGTGGCCATGGGGGGTTAATATCTCATGGTCTCAGGTTTGAGCCTTTAAATACAAACACCCAAGTGATGTAAGACGGGAAATAGACACAAAAACTTAAATGCCCACTTACCTTACACAAGTTTTCATTCTCCAGAACAGAAGTTGCATATGATAATTACAGCCTAAATCAAGTCCACAGAGTACCTCAGTTTGGCTCTCCCCCTCTCTCCTTTCTATCTTCCTGCTCCTTTCCTCTCTCTCTCTCTTTCTCTTCCCCTCCTTCCTTCCTTCCTTCCTCCCTCCCTCCCCCCCCTCCCTTTCCTTCCTTCCTTCCTTCCTTTCTTCCTTCCCTCCCTTCTTTTCTTTTCTTTTCTTTTCTTTTCTTTTCTTTTCTTTTCTTTTCTTCTTCTTTCTTTGGTTTTTTGTTACTCTAACATTTTTCCATAATTAATCTTTTTTAGTTTTTGTATTTGTTTTCCTGCTCCCTCCCTCCCTTCCAACTGAATTAACCACCATCATTTCTATGGCCAGGGAGACCATACAAGCCAGGGCCAGGGTCAAGCATCTCTGAAAGAGCTCATGATGGGAGCACACTTGGGCTCCAACCCACATGCAGACACAGCCAGGTGACTGAGGAGCATTGCTAGACAGAGGGAAGAATTAATGTCTCAAGTTAGCCACAGTCAGCTGCCACCCATGCTGCTCCCATTGCCCATCAGGACACTGCAGAAACCAGATGCCTAGATCCTAGCAATGGGAACTCATCTAGCAGCTGCTGATACCCATGGGAATCCAAATCAAGCTATTCTGTCTTGCCACATAAGCCTGGCTAACTTTTAACTCATGATCCTCCTGTGTCGGCCTCCCAAGTGCTGCCCTCTGTGATGGTTAATAATGATTATCAACTTGACACCTAGGATCAAGTTATAGAATCACCTAGGAAACATCCCTCTAGACATGTCTGTGAGGAAGTAGGTTAACTGAACTGTGAAGACCCACC